CCTCCCCGCCGCGAGAGGACCTCCTAATTGAGGCCCCAGGAAGGGTTCCCTAACCGCGGACCCTGTGAGCAAGTCCCCAGTCGTGGACACGGGGACGGGGCGTCCCGAATGGTGCTGTGTCCCCTTGGCGTCCTCGGAGCGCAGTGTCTGGACCCGGAGGACTCTGGCTGGGACCCCCTGGAAGCGCGCAGTCCAGCGGTACGTGGGACGGGAGGGTTCTTCCGACATCCCAGTGTGGCTGTGGGGCTGCTGACAGCGGCGGAGACAGCAGGAGACCCCCGCCCCTCCCCAGCCTTAAGCAACTTCGACTCAACTCCAGTGTCTGGATTCGCGGTCTCTGGATTCACGGACTCTGGATTCGCGGTCCCTGGCCATTCCCCAGGCTCTCGGGCCAGCGCCGCGTGGCCTTCTGCAAAGTCCGGGGTGGGGGGGGCGCTTACCGTTTGCAGAGGAACATGAGGACGAGCACGGACAAAGCCGCGGTCCCCACCACGGGCCCCACCAGGGCGCCGCTGAAATCCTGCTCCGGGAGGCCTGGCGGGGAAGAGAAGCAGATGGTCAGCTTTGCACACACCAGGCGCTTCCGGGGGGGGGGGGTGCTGCCAGCCTGCAGAGCGCATGGGCATCCAGCTGGTGCATACTTTGGGCTCACGCCCCCAGAACAGTCCTGTGGGACCCCTGGAGGGGGCCATATACGCAGACCCTGGCCTCGTGGGGTTCCCCGCGTCCCTCTGGGCAGGTTGGTTCGCTCAGGTGGCTGAGTCTAGGGGGACGGGCCCCTAGGGGGCCCCCAGGGACCTGGGAGAGGGTGCTGCAGGGTGTCCGGACCCCCAAAGAGGCCCACGTGGTGCCCCGGAGACCCGTGAATGGGACCTGATGGGAAGAGGGTCACAGGTGAGAGGGCAGTGACGGCTCGAGATGCGCTCAGGGGGGCCTGGGTCCCACGGCAGCGGTGCCGAGACGAGACGGCAGAGGACGCCAAGCCAGGGCCCCAAGGAAGGGTCCCTGTGCGGCGCGGGGGGCCTCGGCCACTCACCGAACCGCTGCGTGGGGCTCCATTCGCTCCACAGGCGGTTGTACATGTAACGCACCCTCACCCGGAAGGCGCTCTTGGCTCTGGTGGCGGAACTGGGCATCAGGTACACGTTGGGGTCCTGTCCCCTCTGGAAAACCTTGGAGACGGGAGGGGACTGTACGTGAGGGGCGTTGCTGAAGGGGCGTCGGGGAGCAGGCCGGGGGCCGGGGGTGGGTCCCCTGGGCTCTGAGCTCCGGGGTCTGTGCAGGGACACCCGTGCGTCCGGGCGCAACTCCGCGCGTCCGTCTGGCTCCGCCAAAGCCGGGGAGGTAAGGCCCCGCTTCCCCCGCTGGGGAGGTTGACCCCGCTTCACGTCTGGCGCCCACAGCTCTCTGAGCTGCACCCACACCTCGGGCAGAGACCTCGCGCCCTGGGGACGCGGCCCGCGGTGATTCCGCACAGACCCCGTGGAGCCCCGTCGGCCCGTTCGCTTTCTGGCGGCACAGCCGGGCTCTGAATCGGAGCCGCTGGCCGGGAGGCGTCCGCTGTCCCCACCTGCCTTTCCCTGGCGCCACGGGGACCGAGAGTGGCACAACCCTGAGCCCCAGGGCACCATCTGGACGGTCCTCTGCGCGGGGAACGCACTTGATCTCCCGTGCACGCGGCTGAAACACCCCGCTGTTCTTTCTGAGCTCTGAAGGAGCCCTGCTACTGGCCCCCCACCCGCAGGGCCCTGGGGCAGGAACGGGGGGCAGGGCAGACGAGGACCCAGGAGCTGCCGGGCCTGCTCCTGCAGACAGACGCTGAGGGGGGCAGCAGGGATCCCCCCGCCCCCAAGGAGAGCCCCCCAGGCAGCGGGAGCCACACACACCGCCTGGCCAATGCCTGTGGTGCCCTGGATCTCAGCTGGCGTCTGAGCGGGGAAGGGTCCCAGACTGGACACCTGGCCCCCGAGGCTGGCCCCCAGGGGCGCCTTGAGACTGCACGTGACCCTCAGCCTGGTCCCGGGCACTGCAAGTGTGGTCCGTGGGGCAGCATCTGGCCAGCGGGGTGGGTGTCACCCGGGAGCAGGTGAGGCCCACGGGAACCCAGGTGATGGATGGGAGAGCATCTGCGGGATGGGGGTCGCTGCTGCTCTTGAGAGGATGGGGGGGGCGCTCATGTCTGTTCCAGCATCTGACGGCAACACTGACCAATGACCACACACCCTGTGGCTTAAGACCACAGACGGCATCCTTCCCCAGCTCTGGAGACCAGAAGTCTGACATCCAGGAGGGGCAGAGCCGCTGATTTCCAGGCAGGGCAGGGCCACTGAGACCCAGGCGGGGCAGGGCCACTGAGATCCAGGCAGGGCAGGAGCACTGAGATCCAGGAGGGGCGGGACCACTGAGATCCAGGCAGGGCAGGGCCCCTGAGACCCAGACAGAGGAGGGTTGTACTCCCTCCAGAGGCTCCAGGGAAGGGTCCTTCCTGCCTCTTCCAGCTTCTGGGGCTCCAGGTGCCCCTGGGCTTGTGGCCGCGTCCCTCCCGTCTCTGCCTCCTCCTTCATGTGGCTTCTCCTC